AGGGTGGGGGTTCGTGGATTCCTGGAGGTGTGTTTTCTGGACAAAAGTGAAAGCAATGAAGAAAGCGGAAATCTTGGCAAAGATGGTTCTTACTGAAAAGCTGGGCATCACGGTGTACATGTACGCATGTGTCACGTACGTGAGTCCATGTACATAGAGTACACCGTTTTTTTTTTTTTACTTTATTTTATTTCTTGTCTCAAAATATGCCTGAAATTCCAAGATGAAGCCAAGGCAAAACTTGTTGCATTGGTATGCTGCATACAACATATTTTTTTCAGATTTTTTCTTCTTCTCATATGTGACTAGATTACACTACAACGGGGTTGCGTACGTACTCCAGAGCATATACGCGTGCGTGTGCATATGCATACGTGATGCAGCCAAGCGGAAAAGGACTCTTTAAGCTGCTTTCTTTGTCCTTTTTTTTGCCCTTCCTTCTCTTTTGGTGTTTGCTCTGTTCATGGGTGGTGAGTTCATAGGAAAAGCAATTGTGGATTTCTTATAAAGTTGATTGGAAAACAATGAAAATCGGAGGTTCGGTTAACGTTGTCTTCTCCCCCTCCCCCGTCGCCCCCTCCCTCCCCCCATCCATTTTCTCATTCCGTTCACAATTTTTTCATTGTGTTGCTTCATGATGAAGGATGGAAAGCAGCGGACCCAGAAACGATGCGAACATACTCTCACTGCCAGCAGGCCCCTAAGTGCATGCCCCTGTTGTGAGTACTCCCTAGACACCCCTGAACAATATTACCTTGAGAAGAGTTGTGTAAGTGATGACATCTGGCAGCAATCTTCCATTCCTTGTTAAGTATGCATCCACCTGAAAAGCATAACAAGCGAGCGCCATGAAAACTCAGCAATAGGAAATGGAAACATGCATCAGTTCTGTCAAAGGACCAGTGTGGATGCACAAATTTGTTCTCCAAGTTCCAAAAAACTACTCCAAAATTCGAAAAAACTGTATCTTTTTTGTTTTGTTTCCCCACGTTCAGAGGCTCCAGTGAGACACTAAATAGGTATAAATCGGTTTGGCCACCCACTGATTAGTCTGTGCGCTTGGGTGGATCCTGATACCTATTGATCACTGCTTTTCCACAACAAGCCGTTCGTGAGATGTTGGGGCCAACGTAACATGTAGAATGTTGTGAGTGCAAGGACAATGAGCGAGAGCGGTAGACAGAAAACCATATTGCAACATCACACTGTAGACCAGATAGTCGTGTACCGAGCAGAAAGCACAATGCACCGAGATACCAGCCAAATAAGAGCAAGATAATGAACTCAAATGTCAATGTCGACACTCTCTCGCCACACCAACATAGTATCCAATGTTGCTCCTCTTGATTGGCGCACAGTGCCCAGCCCACTCTACTCAGCCGATACTAGCCTACTCTAAGTATATGAAACAGGATTCATTTCAAGAGAAGACCAATGTACGTGACGATGTTGCCAATGCACACTGCCAGCATACACCAGGTTCGTGCCTCTCTTCCTCTCCTCACCCCTGTCTCCCCACTGCATGGGCCTCCTCCCCCGAAGACCACCATTGCCCACACCGGCATCCCTGTGAGCAGTCCCGGCTATGGCCGCTTGCGCCCGCTGTCACCACAGCGCCCCTCTCTCCTCTAGCGCCCACGTGCGCTTACTGGCCAGCCAGTGCCCAGGCAGCCTCCTGCTCTCAATACAGCAGCGTGGCCGCCCGGTCGTGCAAAGCCAGAATGTGTCTCTGGTGGGCGAGGCACTTTCCGTGCAGCCCAGCCCCTGGCTGCCTGGGCCTGGCGTGGGAGTGCCCAGTAGCTTCATGTTGGGCCAAAGTGTATGCGCCCAGGCCCATTCAGACACGAGCCTGGGCACCCAGCAGTTGAGCAGCCCAACTGTGCGACGTGGCTGTTGTCACTCGCTGCTTCCTCCTTGGCCGCCTCCAGCCACATCGCTGCCTGCTCTCTCATTGGCCGATAGCCTCTGGCCACGTCGCTGGTGGAGTGAGCCCAGAGGCTCATCATGTTGTCTCACACAGGCGTTGCCCTGCAACCAACTGTTGTGTGGTAACTGTCTGGCGCCCCTCAATGCAGAAACAATGGAAATACGGCCCCATGTCTGATATCAAGCCCGCCTTTACTTAGGGCGGGCACGTCGTTTGCTGGGGGCCTCCTTGGGCTACGTGAGGCCTCAGCATAGCGGCTATTGTGAGGGCTCAGTCCTCACACGAGACAGTTTGGTTCCTATCTATCGTTGGTGATCAGCGGTGCATGTGGAAAGGGGCAGGTTCCGGCTGAATACTCACTCTTCCAGCTGAATACTCGCTTTCTTTACTGTCATTTCCCTCATGTGATATGGTCTCTTTTGGTAGCAGTTTCAGTTCCTGCTTTAACTACCGTCTTCACCCGAATAGAACGCCTGGTAATTATCACCATATCTGGGCTGAAAGTCGTGCCAAATACAGCTATAATGACCAGCCGTTATATTCGGGTGAAGATGGCAGTTGTAGGACAGGCATCTGTAAGTCCTAGGGACAGTGTGTGGACTGATTGGAAATCTACTTAGTCTAATTAGTAGTTGTATTGTCTTTATCTAGAGAGCTAAGAACTAGTTAAAGATTAACTATGAATTGTAATAGGTCTAGAATTTAGATGTATTTATAGCACCATGCCACCATTGGTACTATGTTTACTATCGTTCTGGGTATGTATACCGGGTGCCGCCCAGGGGTCCATTGCCCAGAGTCTGAAGATGTCAGAGCACTTGTCCAATATAGAGTCTTGGTCCAGCTCAAAGTGCTAGTCCAAGTTTGGAAGAGAGCAGAGGCCACCAGGCTGCTGGACTGATGATCACGTCCCAATGCCTCCTGACTTTAGCAAGGGGCAGAATCTGCTTCACTTGTGCTGTGGACAGTGTGGAGGATACCTGGAAATGGGGCAAGGTGGGAAGGGTACCGCGTTATGTAGGTAGGTCACAGTGAAATCGTGACTTGAGCACTTTCGGTTATAATAAGCCTTCAAGTAGGCCTCCCCCCCTCCCCCCCCCACACACACAAGGAACAGCCCAAGTGAATGCTGCTAGGGATGCCGGTAAGAGCAGACACCACTAGCAACCCCAGGGAGGCTCCGTCTATTGGTGGGGACCAGCACCTGCTGTGCTCGATTGATTCATAATCCAAAACCGCATTCAAATGTTCCCAAACACATCTGCAATGGCAAGGTTGACGAGCGATTAGTACCTTGAGGATTCATGGGTCTCATAGAGCCTGGAGGAAAGAGGGGAGCACGACGCCGACAGACGGCTGAGCTGGAAGTTCATCTGTTATTCCAGACTGTTGTTTCTCTGTGTTGATGAGGATCACGTACTACAACAAACAATAATAATACGAGTTGTGGGCAGACTATTACAGAAGAATTTGCGCCTTACCTCAAACGTGAGATTGAATACTGGTCTTTTGTGTGAGATCTATCTGCCACTTTTATGTTTGAGTTCGGGTGTGTGCGGTGCAGGTTCGCAGGCATGTGGATGGGGATTCACTGAGCGACCTGCGCGAAGGCAAAAAAATTAAGGTTGATAACATTTGAAGTTTTTGAACGAATGGAGTTCGATTTGCATTTGCCCACTCAGCGCCGTATGTATAGTGGGGTGATGCCGCAATGCAATGTCAGTCTATCTAGCTCACAGTAAAAGTGGGAATGTAACAAACACCCCGTCTGTGTGAAAGAATGAACGGGGTTTCAAATTTCAATACCAACCTTCATTTCCTTGAGTAGATGGAAGGCACAGAGAATATCCCCTCCAGATACACAGGCAAGAATGAGCGAGTTGTAGGTGAGTCGCTGAAATGGAAGGCCGAGGGCTCGCATCTCCTTCCTTAGTACCAACGCCTCCAATGGGTTGTCTGATCGAGCATATCCCTGCAGCAGCAGCAGCAGATGCACCCGTGATTCAGTTGAAGGCAACAATGAGATTTTTTATCTTTAAGAAGAAGAAAAGAGGAAAAGCAAAAGAATTCAAAGAAATCCACCAGTATAATGCAAACTGATCTTCCATTCAGAATGTGGATCCTGAGACAACAACACTCAATTCATTTACATTTGCAAAGTGGGGGCAACGCGTCTCTGGCCAAAAATGATTTCCAAATGGATACAGCGGTTCAAAATCTGGCATTTGACCCCGCTGAACGGGCTTGGCGTCCTGATTAAAGTAAGACCAATACATTTCAATAAAACTCCCATCCAGATTTCACGCTGTGTTCATGCCCTGAGTCCCAGTCCCAGAGTCCCTAGTCACGGTCCCAGAGTCCCACCTGGGCCCAGTCCCAGCTGGTCCAGGTCCTAGGAGTCCCGTTCTTCCTTTGTCTTTGCCTCGTTCCACGTTCTTTCATTTCAGTTGCAATTGAACGGCATTGTCTTTCTTTGAGTTGTTGCACTTCAAGATAGTCAGGATCATAACATGTGGCTTATCTGAATCCGACGAGAGTACATTCAATTGCCCAGCATGCACACATAGTAGCATGTATGCAAGCTGAAAAGGTTGAGCAAATGCTCATGCACGGGAATGATGCATCATTACTATGACTCATGATTAGAAGCGCGCGCGCACACACACACACACACACACACACACACACACACACACACACACACACACACACACACACACGCAGAAAGGAAAACAAATTATATATCGGGCAGATGTGGTTCTTTCTGAAGACCATTTCAATCCTTCGCTAACTTGTTTTCCTCTCTATATGTATGTGTGTGCTCCTAATCATGAGTCATAGTAATCATGCATCATTCCCATGCATGCGCATTTGCTCAACCTTTTCAGATTGCATAAATGCTACTATGTGTGCATACTGGGCAATCGAATGTAGTTCAATGTACCCTCCTCGGATTCAGATTTTGAGAGTTTTGATAGCATATTGCAACAAAAGGAGAGTTGTTTATCCACATCTGTGTAGCACCTGTTGGCGTACGAGGGTAGAAAGCGTACATACTCCAAAAATTGGAGAACGTGAATGTAAAATAAAATATATATACGATATATATCGTCCAAATATATATCGTCAAATAGAACTGCCCGGTAAACCGTAGGCAGAGAGGGAGAAGAGGACAACAAACGAGGGGCTGTGACAAACTGTTTCGTCGGAGTTTCACCGACTCGTCAGGAGGCTGAACCCTCAACAGTCTGTA